GCAGCTCTCGGGTGTATAGGCAGCTGGCAGTGAAGGTTTATAGGCAGCTCTCGGGTGTATAGGCACCTCTCGGGTGTATAGGCACCTCTCGGGTGTATAGGGAGCTCTAGGATGTATAGGCAACTCTAGGGTGTATAGGCAGTGAAGGATGTATAGGCAGCTCTAGGGTGTATAGGCACCTCTCGGGTGTATAGGCAGCTCTCGGGTGTATAGGCAGCTCTCGGGTGTATAGGCAGTGAAGGTGTATAGACAGTGAAGGAGTATAGGCACCTCGGGTGTATAGGCAGCTCAGGTGTCTAGGCAGCTACTGTTGGGTGTATAAACGTCAATTAGGCAGACGATGAAACTGCAGTATACGTTTCAGGTGTATAGGCAGCTGGGGTGTATAGGCAGCTCGCCTTTATCTGCCCCTGGGGTGTATAGGCAGCTGGGGTGTATAGGCAGCTAATAAATATGGAGAGGTTTGGGGTGTACAGGCAGCTCAGGTGTATGCGCAGCTGCTTTGAACTCACCTGTATATATATATATATATATATAATATATATATATAAATAAATAAATAAATAAATAAAATAAATAAAATAAATAAAATATATTTATTTATTTATTTAATTTTTGCATTGATAGGAGAAAGAAGAATATCTGCTGCAACTCGAACGCCAAGGAGAGGCCCCCAAGGGAACGGCTCTCTTCAGACCCCAAGCCGGTAGGGTTTAGGGTTTAGGGTTTAGGGTCTAGGGTCTAGGGTTTAGGGTTTAGGGTCTAGGGTTTAGGGTTTAGGGTTTAGGGTCTAGGGTTTAGAGTCTAGGGTTTAGGGTCTAGGGTTTAGGGTTTAGCGTTTACGGTTTAGGGTTTAGGGTTTAGCGTTTACGGTTTAGGGTTTAGGGTTTAGGGTTTAGGGTTTAGAGCATTCATCTAACAAGGTTCACCAAACAGCCACCCAGGCGGTGTATACGGAGCTGCCTATACACCCCAATGAGCTGCCTATACACCCCAGCAAGCTCCCTATACACCCCAATAAGCTGCCTATACACCCCAACAAACTGCCTATACACCCGAACTAGCTGCATATACACCCCAATTAGCTCCCTATACACCCGAGCTAGCTGCCTATACACCCCAATGAGCTGCCTATACACCCCAGTAATTTTATTATCTATATTAGCTTGTATATAAACTGCCTTTATTTGTGTACATACACCGCAGGTAGTTTGCATGCACGAGTCTAAATT